ACACTACCAGCTCTGCGAAATAGGACAAGTAGTTTTCTAAAGGAAAGCTTATCAGGAAGACTCCAATTTGGATATCTTTGAGCATAAGCCCTTGAGGCCAAGAAGCAATGTTCCTCACAAAATAAAATCACTAGTAACATATCCAGTCGTTTCGCCAGCAGATACTGCTTTATTTTTCTTGATAAAATAATGAATACTTACTTATTAAACTATTGTGGGTAAATTTAAGTAAACTGTTATAAATCTAAATAATCATGTCCATAAACTAATGTCGATTTTGAAAATAGTTACTGTCACTAGAAAGTTGCCATGGTGACACCATATATCTTGATTGGTATTTTATTAAAAAATCGCTTTTTATTCAAAATCTGAGCTAAATAGGTATAGGAAACCCTAATATAGTTAAATAATAAGATCATTTAAATCTGCTTCGATTTATTTTAAAAAATACAGGGTTTTGCATTTAAAATAATAAAGTTTTTATGTAAAATAAATACTTAAAATAGACCAGCAATTTTTGGTACTCCTGTATAAATTTAAGGAAGCAATAAAGTTTTTCAGTAAAGTTTATTTCTCTACCTTTAAACTCAATACAAGCATTAATTCTGAAAAGTACTGTACAAGGTGTTGATAATATATTCTATTGTAGCATGGATATTTAATTATCTTTAAATATCTCAAAAACCAAAAATTTGAAACATGTTTAACCCTTATAATATTTTTTTAGGCTCAAGAATCCAAAAATGAAATAAAATACCGGGTGTTCAATAAGAAAAAATATAACTTTGGAATGGATCTTAGTTCTGAAACACCCTGTACATTTTAAAATAATTTTAAATTGTGCAAATTGCTTCCCCACATATACCCATAAAATATTGTTGATGTTTCTACATCTTTCCGTTTTCGTATAATCAATCGAGGCAAATGAGGTACGGAACCCCGAATATTTATTTACATTTTAAAGTTTTTGTTTTAAGTTTCATTTACTTAGTTATTTTTATAATTATTATTAAATATGTACTTTCATTGTTTTTGCTACATTTTAAAAATCTTCAAAGACAGTTCTACTTACCTATAAGCAATAACGATATCAAGAAAGTGCGAATGGTGATTAGAAACTTAGTGATTAAATGAATTTTAGTGATTATAAATATTAAAATTCTTTTCAGCTACTTAAATAAATAAAGACGGTATAAGCTAATTATTTTTTTTTTAATATTAATAATACTGATTTTTTTAATAATTCGAGTTCGATTTGTTTATAAATTTTATATTTTATGTACATTATTTTTTATTATTAAGCAATAAATATGAAGATTTTCCTGATTTTACTACAATTTGGACAACGTCATTTAAAGTCAAAAAATAACAGAAATCTGTTATTTTAAGCTGTTATATACAGGGTGGTCCGAACTGTATTCCGGAAACTTTAGCAGCATATTCTGAAGATAAAAATAAGTAAAAAAGTTCGTATAAATGTATGTCCTAAGATGCTTAGTTTCAGAGATACAGGGTGTAGAAGTTTCATTTTTATTTCGAGTTTTTCTAAATAATTTCTGAAATAACGTCAATATTTGGATGAAAATTGGAGTCTGGGAGTTTTTTGACATGAGAAATTTGATTTTGATGTCAATATGACTCCTACTAGTAGAGGGCGCCACCAACATGTATTTTAACTATTTTGAAGCGTAATAACTTTTTGTAAGTACCTGTATAAAACTACCGAGCGAAAGAATATACATCTCTTTGACTTTTTATGTAAAAAATTTCTCTTTGTAAAAATTGCCACGAGCAACCGTTCTTAAGATATTTAGAATGGAAATAGTCAATACATGTCATTATTGACGAAAAATAAACACGTTGAGCAGATAGTTATTTCACTGAAATAACAAATTTGGAAAATTTTTATTTTTTTTAAATTAATCATAAATTTTTCTGCAAAAAATGATGGTAAAATAGTTTCTGTTGAACTTTTGGCACAAAAACATTTCAAATTTATGATTTCAGTCTAATAACTATTTAGCCAGCATGTTTAATTTATGTCAATGATGACAGGTATTGATAATTTCGATTTCAAATATCTCGAAAACCATTACTCGTAGCGATTTTTACCAAGAGACCTTTTTCACGTAAAAAACGTCGTGAATGTATATTTTTTTACTCAGTAGTTTTATACAGATACGGACGAAAAGTTATTACTCTTCAAACCAGTTAAAAAATATGTAGGTGGCGCCATCTACTAATGGGAGTCATATTGACATCAAAATCAAATTTCTCATGTCAAAAAACTCCAAGACACCAATTTTTATCCAAATATTGACGTTACTTCAGAAATTATTTGGAAAAAATCGAAATAAAAATGAAACTTCTACACTCTGTATCTCCGAAACTAAGCAGTTTAGGACATACATTTATACGAACTTTTTTACTTATTTTTATCTGCAGAATATGCTGCCGAAGTTTCCGGAATACAGTTCGGACCACCCTGTATAAATAACAGGAACAGTTTCAACTGTTATTTAAAAATAACGGTTTTGTCCACCACTATCAACCAGATTGTGTAAAACCAGTAGGAAGTAGACTCGTTAAAATTGCAATGCCTAAATCGGCTAGATCTGATATTATTCACCAGAACATGTATTTTAAGGAAATTCCCACTATGTTGGAAAATCAAGTAGTAGAGTTTCAGTAGGCTGCAGCCATTTTTCAATTTTTACTATGTTTTTTCTTCGTAATATTTATCAAGTTATAAAGAAAAAAAAAACTGCATAGGAAAATTTAATGTCACTGTTCAATGTAAAAAAATTCACAGATTTTGCAACATGCGCAACCATCATAGGCGTATTGAAAATACCAGACACAAAAGTCGGTGGTGGTCAGCAATCACCTGTTTTTTACATTTTATATTAACTTGTGACGTCATTTGGAAGAGCTCAATAGAAATATAAAAGAACTAAAGCTTGTTTGGAAAGCAATTTGACATTCGTGACGTCAGCACTCCGGCAGTCGTATCGCTAACGTATTGCTAATTGCCATTCGCAAATATATTCCAGATATGTATTTTGATATTGTATTAGTATTTTGATATTTGATTTTTATCGTGATGGCTTTTTATAAAAGTGAAGAATTTAGTAAGAAAAATATTAATGATGGAGATGAACGTGTACGGATTCATGAATGGTCACGATCATGGTCACGACACTATAGAAATGTGAGGTATGCATGTGAAAATGATGAAAATGTTGTGTGATATGAAAAAGCAACAAAATATATTATCGATTGCAGCAACTATACCTAGTTTACATTCAGTATGTCCAATTAATATAGAACATTATAGCTATGCGTGATTTTAAAAATTTGCTACCATTATATTTTGATAGTTGAGTTTTTGAAATTATTTGTTAGCTTCTTAAACAAAACAGACCCATAATAATTAAAATCTTTATCATCCAAGACTTCCAAGAATTATAAAGTAATCTCACGTCAAAATTTTTTAAATTATTGCATGCCTTAAATGTTTGCAAAGTTAACAAAAATATGTCTTTGATTACCTGCTGATATTTGGTCCAATTTATCAGTTCTGCATCATATCCGAAATTCAGATTGTGTGTGACACAACGAAGAGTCAACGTGCAACGTGAACGACAAGAAAATGGCAAGTAAAAAAATTTGTAAAGTCTTAATTACTAATTACACAGTCGTTCTCTTGAGTTCTCCTGCCTAAAATCTATATTGCCTTCCCTAAGATTTTAAATATAAATGATTGAAACTCATACAAGTTTACCACAATTCAAACTTAATTATTTAATTATTAAATCCATAATTATATTAAAATATAACACTTACGAAGTTACTAAATATTAACTATTTCTACTTAATCATTTAATAATTCTGATAAAAACACGCTTGATTATTTATTTTAGAAATCATACGGGCTATAATCATTAATATAACTTTATTAACAATAATTAAATCAAAATTATTTGAAGGAATGCTACTGTATTACAATAATTGTAAAACAAGTATGTAATAATAACTGGGAATAATTATTAAAAACTGCTCATCTTGTTATAGATGTCGGCGTCTTATCTCTATTATTTTATAATGCAGATTTTAATGTGCCATTTGTGTTCTTTTATTGGAATTATTATTTTTAGCATATTTGGTATACTCTATGAAGTTATTTTTAAGTGCCCCTGTCCATTTTTCAATTATTAAAGTGCCTTTAGATACAATTAAAATTAATTAATTGGTGTATAGTATTTGTATTATGGGTTTGTTTATTTTTTATGAAATGATTTTTTTCCTATTAAAATAAACATAGCTTACGAAATCACTAGCTAGCCATTTTTAAATACAGGGTTGTGGTGCAAGCAAATCAAATGCTTATTCAGTAAACTCTGCTATTAACAATAATTAGTATTAAAAAATTGTTAATTAAAAAAAATATTATCATATAAAAAATATAGGTCCTAATAGCCTAATTTTTATCAAAATATATCAGCAGATCCGATGAGACCCGAATTATTATATGTTTTGAAACTTAATGATTTAATTAATTATTCCCTTTAATGCATCGATTGTGCGCATTATCCTACGCGCCAAGAAAAAAGTTCCATTAGTCTAAATTTATTATTTATATTATTCCGCTCTTTCACGTATAATTTGCCCCCTGCCTCTCATATGGAAAGAGTTAGATTAAAATAGCCCAACTGTACTTAACAACCCATGCCTTGACGCATATTCTTTTTTATGATAATATCGGCTTTCAAAGACTAAACATCGATATCCATAAAATAGTTGGCCCACACTAATAAGACCTCATTTCGGCCCTCGGACGGCCTTGCTCTATTCACGACTTACGTGTTGACAAGTTGATTAGGCAGGTTATTGAACTCCATGTCGCCTCTAGCATGTCGTTTTTTCAAAGATGGGTCCCATATAAACGCGGCCAGAAGTATTTTCAATACTAATATAAACGCAGAAATATATCCACATACCTTGGATTTTGGTCATCAGCATCTATAACATGAACTGTTAAAGTTGTATCTGCAGTTTTTGGTGGATCACCATGATCTTGTGCTCTGATCTGGACATCAAACATTTTTAAGGTTTCATAATCCAAAGGTTTCTTCAAAACTAGCGTTCCTTCTAATTCGTTCTCAAATTCGAAATAATCGGAATACGGTCCTTTAAGAACTGAATATCTACGGAATTAGAAAAGAAAAGGTAGAAAACTATGAAAAAGAGAAAGGTAAAGATTAGATCAAAAATGTTATAAACCGTATATTATGTATTATAGTAAAAGCAAACTATGACGTATACAAATTTTTGTTTATACCACATATTTTACGACGCGTTGGATAGTTATAATATATTAATTACCGATATGAACTCGCGATATACAGGGTGAGTCGTAAGTGTGCAAATATTTTAGGGGTACTATATTTCGACCCCAGAAACACGATTATTAGTTTTTTTTCACAAAGGAAATTTGAAAATTAGGATTTTTTTTAGTTTTTAGTTAAAACCATAAGTTTTTGATAATATGGCAACATAGGTAGTAGATTAAATTTCCAGTTTCCAAAAAAATCCAGTGGTTCTCAAAATTTTAGTAAAAAATAATTTTGTTTTTAAATTTTACAGTAAAATAAATCGGTTATTTTGGACTTATTTGAAAAACGAAAAAGAGAAAATTTGTTTCTGTAGCCTGTAGCGGATACAGAGAGAGGACACATGGGGACCACATGGGGCCCCAATAAAAAAATATTCTGCATTACTTTTTATTAGGACTCCCCCTAAAATAAATTTCTGTATCCTCCCCTGCTTTCCTTAATCCTTTTATTCAAAGAAAATTTTGTAAGTCTTACTTTACACTGGAGAAGGGACCCTGTTGATCGTTATCAACGGCATGAACACCTTGTAGAACTCTGGTTCCGATCACTGTCACTTCTGATATATTCAATATATAGGGAGCATTAATGAAAACGGGAGAATTATCATTGGCATCAGTGACCCTAAAAGAAATAAAGACCATTATTTAGTTTGAATTTCTATTTTTTAATATTTAAACTCCGCTTAGTTTTACATTTATATAGGGTGATTCAAAAAACATGTGCCATCTCTCATGGGGAGATTCGTCACGTAAAAATAATATTTATTTTTCATATCAACCTAGGTCCGATTCTGCTTTAGGGTGTTAAAATCTTAATATTTTTGCGATTTATTATAATATTCTTCCAAGTACTTTAGCGTTTCGAATAAAATTTTAAGGGTAAAAGTTACTATAAATGCGGCATATTTTAAAGCTTAAAAAGTGTCGACATATTCATCAGGGACGTGCATATGGGTTATCACTGGAATATTTTTCTAAAAAAAACATATACGCCACTGACTTTTTTCTCTTGTTAGTGAAATAGTGTAAGCAGTTTAATGCCGATTAAAAGTTGTCTCTTGATATTTTGCTGATTTCGATCTCCTTGATGAGATCAACGCAATTTTATTAATTTGCCTTGATCCAAGTCTAATAGCAACCTTCAAAAAAATTTAATATCAATAACTTGCCAAAGTTTTAAATAAGTACTCATTAATTCCTCATCAAAAAATATAAAAAAGTTCCTATAAACATAGGTATGGAAGTGCATAGTTTTAGAGCTACAAGATGTTAAAACTTTTTAAAATTAGGTTTTTTGTAATTATTGCAATTGCTGTAGGTTGGACTAATAGTAATACTATTTAATCATAAATTAGGTAAAATATATTATTTATTAATTTTATTTTCAATTTATTAATTATGATTAACAAAATCGCGTTTATCTCATCAAGAAGGCCGAATTCGACAAAACATCAGCAGACAACTTTTAATATATTATTATTATTATGTTTCTTTTGAAAATTATTCCAGTGATAACCCATATGCACGTCCCTGAAGAATCTTTCGACATTTTTTTAGCATTAAAATATGTAGCTTTATTGTATACTCTTACCCTCAAAATTTCATTCGAATCACTAAAAGTACTTGGAAGAAAATTATAATAAAGCGAAAGATTATTAAGACTTCACCTTGTAGCTACGAAACAAAGCAGAATTGGACCTATGTTGATATGAAAAATAAATCTTATTTTTACGTGAGGAATCCCCCCACGAGAGATAGCACATGTTTTTTTAAATACCCTTTATAGTATATGATAACACTACAGTCTACTCAGCATCAGACTATTGATGGTCTTTTAAAAGCAAAAAGCACCTTTATTATTGATAATAATGTCGATGAATCTTAATATCATCGATGTATCAATAATATCGATATATCGATATTTATTTAATTAATTCGATAGTTGTCGATATATCGACGATTATCGGCATATCGATAACTAAAATATATCAGTAGGTAAAGTTTACATTACATTTTCTTTGCAAAAACACCCTTACATTATTAATAACGAGTTTATTTAAAGAGAAAAAAAATACCTTGATTTTGTAAATCCAAATACCTATTGTTATTAATGCAAGTACATTTTTGTTAGTCGCCATAAAGTCTTATGTAAATTAATAGATTAAAAAATTCACAAATTTTGCAACACGCGCAACCGTCATAGGCGTATTGAAAATACCAGACACAAGTCGGCGGTTGTCGGCAATCACCTGTTTTTTTTTTACATTTTATATTAACTTGTGACGTCATTTGGAAGAACTCAATGGAAATATAAAAGAACTAAACCTTGTTTGGAAATCAATTTGACATTCGTGACGTCAGCACTCCGGCAGTCTATGGTGTATCCAGACCTGACGAGCCGAGCGCGAGACGAGAGCAAGACAAGAGCGAGACAAGAGCGAGACGAGAACGAGACATTTTCTATCCATTTTTTACGCAAACCTGCCTCGAGACAAGCCGAGTGGGATCATAGTGAAAGGAAGCCAAACACATATTAAATTGCAATTGAATATAACAAACGATGGCCAAATAATATCGCATACAGTAATAATATTTTGTACCTTTAATATGGTATTCGGTCTTTAACATGGTATTCATCATCGGTTTTCTCCTTTTTGGCTGTTTTCCCCTTTATCCCTTACACGACGGCGACGTTTTTTACATAATACGTTTTTTAACGTTTTTAGAACAAAATGTTAAATAGAAAAGTTATTGGTAAGGTTAAGAAGCACATTTTAACATTACTATAGAGTATACAGGCTACTTCAAAATAGTGTTGCGGATATAACACATTTTCTAATGGGAATACCCTATTTTTTATTTTAGTATTGGGTTATACTTACAATTCGGTAACTTTTTTTTGCATTTTTTGATATTATATATCTAAAATTAATAGATGTAATAATTCAATTTGTTTAAAGAAATGTTGGATTTCGGTAGGGTAAAAATTATCAGTGACGCAAAATTTGTAAATTCTATCAAAAAATGATAATACATACGGTGTACGATTTAAAAATTTGAGATTACTTAATTTTAAATAGTCGAAATTTATAAATCAGAGCTAATATCTCGCAGTCGGGCGAGCCTACCAAAAACACGTCCAGACCTTCGAGCTTTCTTTGATCGGCCGTTGAAAAACCGACAGGGAACGATGCGATGCTCCGCGGGTTGACTCGCGAGCCTCTTGCGAGACTCGTCCACACTGCGAATTTGGAATGTCTCGCGCTCGTCTCCCCAGGTCTGGACGCACCATCGTATCGCTGATCGCCATTCGCAAATATATTCCAGATACGTATAGTGAACAAATGAACCGTTCGCAACGTTAAATAATTTTGATATTTAATTTTTATCGTGATGGCTTTTTATGAAAGTGTATACATAGCAAATTGCATTAATTTGCAATAGCACCTCGAACCCACAGTTTCGTTATGGACCCAGATTAAACCAATCAGAATGAGTATTATGTTACCGTAAAAGCCCGAATATTGGTTAAACGTAGAGTTGCCCACGTAGGAGCCCGAAATATATAAGAAGTGGGTCAGTTTCGGTTAAGTTTAGATTAGGTCTATATTTTTATTAATTCAAAACCTACTAAAACCTAATTCTAATCTAACCTAAACTCATCCCTTCTTTTGCATATTTCCGGCTATTACCTGCATGGGCGCCGGAAGAATGAAATTTAGGGGGGGGCAAGGTAAAAATGAATAAAAAATTGACATTTTTGGTAATTATTGGGAAAACTGGAAATCATCCGATTTTCACCAAAATTGGTATACACCCTATTTTGAAGTCGTAGATTACGAATCTGAACTTTTTTCTTGGCGGTCTCTTACCGTTTTTCAGAAAGACGGAAAATAATTTCAATATCGAATTTTTCTTAATTTCTCATATTTTTAAGGTTTTCTAGCACATATTTTGTTAGGTATTCAATAATCAATAATGTTTTTGCTATTTTCTGTTACTTTTTTAACCAATTCTATGCATAATAGAGGAAAATTTGCATAAATAAATTTGTAAACAACCTGAAAATGTTAGATTATAGCTTTGTTCGGGTTCTTGTTATTACCGATTCTGAACCGTCCAAGAACTCTGCAGCGCATGCGCAAATGAAATAATATCTTCATATTTCCTTCTGCGCATACGCATCACAGTTCTAGAACGGTTCAGAATCGGTAATAAGAGAAACCCGAAGTAAGTTTATGTGTTTCTGGCATTTAAAGCAACGTTGCCAATGCTAAACCTAAATTTAGCGTGTTTTTTTCGCTCATTCTGGAATTACGAAAGGCGGTCGCCAGAAGAACGGCTCCTTCCCATAACTGCTATTTTACCAACGAGATCTGACTATTTATACCCACGAAGTTGCACGAAAGAGTTTTGATTGCATTGGTTACAACTTCCATGCAGAGGGTGTTAATCTTTTGTTGTTATATTATTAGATTAACTAAAAAAAGATTAACCCCCTCCGCAAAGAAGTTAAAACCAATGCAATCAAAACTCTTCCGCGTAATTTTGTGGATATAGGTGTATATTTAATTATTGTCGATCTCATAATAGGTAATTTATTTAAAATCCCTAATCACCCGAAAAAATAGAAGATATGGCAACGTTGTAAATTTTCAAATTTCTAGATTAGGTCTAGAATATATTTGTCTCTCTTATTACATAGGAGAGAGAAAGAAGGATATATCAAATGTCAAACTTCCATCTGGTCTCAATTTTCTTTGCTATTTTGTTAAGAAAAGTGTTTTTCAGTAAAATGTTGGACACTTTTCTATCCCCAATCAAGTGTGGCTTTTAGATAAACTATAATATAATGAAAATATAGTGAAATTATTACTTTATAGGGCCGAAATAAAGAAAAATTCAATGTTGAAATAATTTTCCGTTTTTCTGAAAAACGGTAAGACAAACCAAACCAAACCAAACCAAGAAAAAAATAGATTCGTAATCTACGACCTCAAAATAGTGTGTATACCAATTTTGGTGAAAATCGGACGATTTCCAGTTTTCCCAATAATTACCACATTTTTTATTATTTTACAGGTAACAGCTAACAATTTCATAATAATGATTATTTTTTTTACAGATGGATGTAAGAAGATAGTTTTTATTTTTATTGTTTCAGTGATCCAGGGGGGGGGGGGCAAATGCCCCCTCTTGCCCCCCCTGTCCGGCGCCCATGATTACCTGGGTATTCCTAGGTTTAACTAATATTCGAACTTACGGTGTAAATAAATGGGGGGAGGGCCCTTAATTTAAATTCGCCGTACAACAAAATTTCACCAATTTTCTCAATAAAAATTAAAAGTTATAAATCATACTATTTTTTATAGAAATGATGGAATAAGGGTGAACGGGGTGCCGGTAGACCAAGAAGATACTTGGAATGTAAGCGTTAATTGATACTCGAATTCAGTCGCCTCACAGTATAGGCATATTTTGAACCCTTACCGTGCATAGTTACTGTAGATAAAAATAAATTAAAATATAGTTGGCTCCAACGATAATTTAGTTTCCAGCTTCTTTTCATCATACCTATTAAAAAAAACCGTGACAACCCCTACTTATAGTATGTATCGACATATGTATTTTTAAACATCATTATGAGATTTAAGTATAAAAAGGTGCCCATAATGTGTGTAGCGGTAATGACGGTTTTTTTGTTATGAGGAAAATAAGCAGCAAAATATATTATCGATTGCAGCAACTATGTATATCTAGTTTACATTCAGTATGTCCAATTAATATGGAATATTATACCTATACATGCTTTTAAATATTTTCTACCATTATATTTTGATAGTTTTTGAAATTATTTATTAGCTTCTTAAAACAGACCCATAATAATTCAAATCTTTATCATCCAAGACTTTCAAGAATTATGAAGTAATCTCACGTCAATTTTTTTTTAAATTATTGCATGCTTTAAGTATTTGCAATGTTAACAAAAATATTTCTTTGCATACCTTGCAATTAATATATTTGGTCTAATTTATCAGTTCTGTATCATATCCGAAATTCAGATTGTGTGTGACACAACGAAGAGTCAACGTGCAACGTGAAAGACAAGAGAAATGGCAAGTAAAAAAAATGTAAAGTTTTAATTACTAATTACACAGCCCTTCCCTTGAGTTCTTCTGCCTAAAATCTATATTGCCTTTCCTAAGATTTTAAATATAAATGATTGAAACTCAACAAGTTTACCACAATTTAAACTTAAGATAATTATTTAATTATTAAATCCATAATTATATTAAAATATAACACTTATGAAGTTAATAAATATGAACTATTTCTATTTAATTATTTAATAATTATTCTGATAAAAACACGCTTGATTTTTTATTTTAGAAATCATACAGGCTATAACCATCAATATGACTATATTAACAATACTTAAATTAAAATTTATTTGAAGGAATGCTACTTGAAGTATTAACTCGGAATAATTATTAAAAACTGCTCATCGCGTTATCGATGTTGGCGTCTTGTCACTGTTGTCTGGCTGATTGGCCGTTTAGGTACCTATAGTTTGATTTCAGATAATGCAGATTTTAATGTGCCATTTGTGGTTTTTTTATTGGAATTTTTTTTACATATTTGGTATACTCTATGAAGTGCTCATGTCCATTTTTCAATTATTGTAGTGCCTATTTAGATACATTTAAAATTAATTAATTAGTGTATAGTAATTGAATTATGGGTTTGCGTATTTTTTATGAAATGTATTTTTTTCTATTAAAATAAACATAGCTTTACTTACAAAACCACTAGCTAGCCATTTTTAAATACAGGGTGTTAATTAAGTATCTGGCCAAATTCAGGAGGTGATTCTTTGAGTGTTTTTAAGGTAAAAAGTTAATATAGACATGTGTCCGGAAATGCATAATTTTAAAGATACAGGGTGTCAAGACGTTTCCTAATAGACATTTTTTTATTAATATCTCAAAGATCCGTTGGCCGATTTTGTTGAAATTGCGCCGTGTTGTGAACTTTGATAAGTTAGCACTAATTAAATGATAATAATTATTATTTACAACAATATTCAAACGGTAAAAACGCCTGTTGGCGGTGGAAATCACGCATCCTAAGTTGTTAATTAAAAAAATAATAATCATATAAAAAAATATGGTAATTATAGTCTAAATTTATTATTTATGTGATTCTGCTCTTTCCAGTATAATTTGCCCCTTGCTTCCCATACGGATTAAAATAGCCAAACTGTACCCAACAACCCATGCCTTGACATATTTTTTTTTAAAATAATATCGCTTTCTTTATCCGCCGGTCCAGACGTCCTTGCCCTATTCGCTCATCAATGCTGGCTCTATCGACTTAAGTACGTGTTGACAGGCAGGTTATTGAACCCATGTCGCTTCTAGCATGTCGTTTTTTCAAAGATGGGTCCCATATAAACGCGGCCAGAAGTATTTTCAATACTAAAATAAATTTGCCCAGGAATAGAACCCTCGCGCTTCGAATTGGTTAATTATAGTTGCCCATGAATGTCATAATTTTCAAGTTGTTTGAAAACGTTGTATTGCGTGTTTTGCTGCAAGCTGTTAAAAATGTCGAGTTCGGATAGAAATTATTAGTACCTCTCCAAGCTCTTGAAGCTTGAAGCTCCAAGCTCTTTAAGCTCCAGAATAAAATAGAGTTTAACATTATGATTTTAAATTTTTAATATCCATGTATTTATTTATTTTTTTTTATTATATTTATAAACTATTTTATTTAGTCATATACAAACATTTATAGTTTCATATTTATAGTTTCATAGTACCTAGCAAATTAAATTGCTGTGTGTACTAAACCCTCTAACAATAACTAATAAATATATGAAAAGAAACTGAATCATAGGTGCAACAGAAAGAAAAAAACAATAAATACGTAAACTGAAACTACAACAATCGAAACAAAAAAACTTAAAAACCTAGTGTGCATAAATTTCTTGCACTAAAACAAATATAAAACAAGCACAAGTGTCTCAAATAATGAGCGGCAATATGTGCAGTACGTGCGAAAATATTTATATGCCTGGAACTATTCATCAGTGTTAGAAAAACGGCGAAACAAGTAAAACAACAAATAACATAGAGGAAAAAGGAGACATCGAAACCGATTGTTTTGATATTAATGAACTTCTGATCAATAAAGGACAAATCAAAGCGACGGCGACGCCGACGTCCCTTTATTCGACCACACTTTCCAGTGGAACGTTCAAAGAATCAAATTAATAATTTATGGCACGAAATATAGATATACCCAACATATTTAAATGCAACTATTATATTTGTGATATTAGTAAATTTTATTCTTATTTATTAGTTCCTTAAAATTTCATAAGACCATTTTTACATTAGAAACTTACGATTTATTAATAATATTGTTATACAGGGTGTCCCAGAAATAGGTGAAAATATTTTAAGGGTGGTAGATCTCGATAAAAGAAACATATTTTCTCTTTATCGTTTTTCCAATTAAAATTTCCAAGTCCAAATTAACGGAGTTATTTTACTTTGAAAATTTCCAAAAAAATGATTTTTTGCCAAAATGATTTTGCTTTGAGAACCAGTGGATCTTTTCTGGATTTTCTTTCTTGTAAATTTAATATAATACCTATGTTGCCATATTATCAGGAAATTATGTTTTTTAACTAAAAACTAAAAAATTTCCAAAAAATTTAGAATTTTGAAAAATTTTTTTTCGGGAAAAAAACCTCATAGGCGTGTTTCTGGGGTTAAACTATACTACCAGTTAAAATACTTGCACTTATTTCTGGGACACCCTGTATTATTCATCTATGAAGTAGGGACTGACTGATTCTGCATTAAAGGAACGATTTTTTAAATTGTTTGTGTAATAAGATAAAAATGCTTACCTAATATTAATGGGTATGACAAAGCCAGGATCCAGTGTTCCTAGCCGTTCACAAATCAAGTTTACAAAAACCGACGACGGTCCACTAACTCCCTCTTTATCTAGAGGACGAGTGAGCGTCAAGTTTTTCGAATTTTGTGCAATAGCTACAGGACTATCTGGCTCTTTAAGACGTAAAGCGATAGTACCCAAATGTGCTCCAGGGTCCCCAACAACTCTAACGCGTCCAATTATTTCTCCCACCGGCAAATCTTCGGACACGAAAAAAGTCTCCGATGACGCTCCATTTTCCAAAAAGCAACGATTATCTTGAAGAGCTAAAAGTAGTTATTTATTAATTAGTAGTCTATTGCCCTGCGATTGCCTTGTCATTATAATTAGAAGAATAAGGATTTTGTATAAGCCGCATGAGCTACTAAGCCATTTAGCGGCATCATTATAGTTATTATCGGAAGTAATGCTATCTAATATATAGGGTGGTCTGAATTGTAATCAAGAAACTTCGACAAATATGTTATAAATTGTTATTTAATCAATTACCTATAATCAGCATTTATAATGACCGTATCTACAGGGTGGTCTGAATTGTATTCAGGAAACTTTGGCAGCATATTCTGCAGATAAAAATTATTCAAAAGGTTCGTGTAAAATCATGTCCTAAAATAGTTCATTTTAGAGATACAGGGTGTAGAAATATCATTTTTGTTTCATTGAAATGTATATTTCTCACTCTATAGTTTTATACAGACATGGACGAAAAGTTAATACTCTTCAAAACAGTTAAAAAACATGTAGGTGGTGCCCCCTACATATTTTTTAACTGTAGGAGTCATATTGATCAAAATCAAATTTTTCATATTAAAAACACCCAGAAATTATTCTGAAAACATCGAAATAAAAATGAAACTTCTACACGTTGTATCTCCAAAACGAAGCAGTTTAGGATATAAATATACAGGTTGTTAACTCGATAGTTACTTTAGGGGAACAGAATGGCAACACTCGAATCACAACACTGCCTATTGAGAACGCATGCACTTATAGGGTTTTCTGCCGACTCGTCCCGTCGCGTCGTCTGTCGACGAGCGGGCCGAGGTTGCTGTATTTCAACCATAAAGCTCTTGCCGCGAGTAATAAACAAATTAACAATCAGTATAAGAACTCTCTTTTACTACTTATCGCAAAGTTTAGTTTCGCGAATACAATTCGGACCACCCTGTCATTATGTATTATGTATACTGTCATTATAAATATTGATATATAGGTGCTTCCATAGACACTAATTGAAATAACTGACTTGGTTTTACATGAGATCTCACAACTTTTTATAGTGGAAGAATTGCGTTGTGAGACTTGAAATTTCTTTTACATTTTATGGTTTGTGACCCATTTCTTTTTGTACGTCATCCTATTTTCTTTCGAGTAACATAATATCAATAAATAAATAAGTAACCATTCAATTATTATCAAATCAATAATAGCAAACAAAAATCTTAAACGTATATTACGATCAGAGGCGATTGATACAGCAGCTGACTAAAAATTTGCGGTGAGACTTCACTAATATCTTTATACAGGAACACTGGATGCTACAAATTCGAAGTACGAGCACTGGTATCTCGGTAACCGTAATAGCACATAATGGTTAAACTGGGGCAAAGTTGCGCTTTGGGATGTTCACCAAGATGCCATCAAAAAGTTTTAAAAATTTCAAGGATTGCTGAGTTTTTTGGAAAAACGGATTTTTTTGAAAATCTATTTTACTTTTTCCTGTCGTTACTTCTTAGAAAATCAAAAAACTGCAAAATTGCACATTCTCATTGCCACTTTATTAGGGCTATCTGATAGATTTTCAAATTAGCTGATAATTTGTGCCAACTTATTTTTTTTAAATACGGACCTGCAATTTTTATTTCAGGTTTTGAAAGTACTCGGTTTCCTGAGTACAGTGATATGTCACATTTTATACTTTTTTTTGTTTTGGGTACCTTAAAAACGACAAAACTATTTAATTATTATTTATAATAATTTCAAGCCCGACTCTGGTATTTTAAATTATTTAATGTGATTATATTCATCGCAACAATACTAATCAGTGCTAATTTACATGGAATAAGGAAAATCGAGCCAATTTGAAGATTTAAATAAATAATATCCAGGTCAGGAATTTATAGATAGTATTGTTACGTTTTTCGTCGGTTCCGTGTTGATAGAAAGTCACAATTTATTTAACACTAATTAACAAAAACAATAACGATTAAAAGACTTAAAGAACTATTTATAACTTATTTACAATTTATTTAATTCTTTATCTAACAGAAATTTATTTTGAATTAGCGCGGCGATTGTAACTCTACGCGTCGATCGGTTATTTATCTCTGTCTCTCTTAGGCCCCGGCGTCTGCTTATATTGGAGAGAAACAGACAATCCAGACTTGTCTAGTAAATTCTTATTCGTTCTTAGAACGTCGACATTGCTGGGCGTATGAGTCATAGGCGAGTGGCCAGGCCTAAGGCTGAGTTCACACGGCACGGGTCCGCAACACTGCCCCCTTCTTAGGTACATGCTCGTCACGAGATGTACACGGTGAATGAAGGTATTTGCAAAGCTGGCCCCTGGTACATTGCGAAGTCTGGTAGAAATAGCAGTCTACAGTTTTCTCTCCCGATCTCAGCTTGGGGTTGTAGCAGCAAACAAGGATCTCGATTCCCGTAAATCTGAACAAGACTTCAATCATGTTCCGGATTGTACGCCAACTCAAACCATCGAGTCCACACGCCAGCTTCGCCAGTTCAATCAGGGTCTTCCATAGATTGAGGTAAGTCGGTTTACTCGGGGACCATTCCTTGGTGACCAGGTAGAAGATGTATCTTGCTTGACCATGTGCATTGTCGGTTAGCCTCAAGACGCTTCCAACCTCTGGATTCTGTCGGCGTAGTTCTCCGACACGCCCAAACTTCTCATTGAACGTCGTAGCGAGTCCTCTGGACATCCGCAAATCTCGGGCCACACAGTGAGCGAGCGAATAATCAGGAGGCACGGAAAAGAGGTCTCGTTGATCTTCTTTGGTTACACCATAACGAGCCTTCTCACTGTTGTTCTATCGGACCATGAAATCGTCAAAGGACATCTCCGAATCAGGGGGATCAAAGCTGCAGGTTCTCACGGTCCCAGTACGATCTTCTATTTCGCCTTGGTAGGGGCTTAAACGGCTGAAATGCACTACCCTCGGTTTTCCTTTTGGCAATTTTCTGATACGGTATACGACGTCATTAATCCTATCCATGACTTCGTATGGGCCTTCCCACGAGGATTGTAGCTTCGGAGATAATCCACGACGTCTCTGCGGGTTATATAGCCACACCAACTTCCCTGGTTGGTATCCTCCATGCTCAGCTTGAATGTCGTAGTGTTCCTTCATTCGGTCACTAGCACTTTGAATATTTAGGCGGACTCGCTGATGGATGTCGTCCATCCTTTGACGTAATCTGTGGACATAATCTTCTCCAGCGACATCTTCTCCCGGTCGGCAACCAAACTTCAGATCACAAGGTAGACGCACTTCCTGTCCCATAATGATGCTGGCTGGAGTTTGCCCCGTGGATTCTTGGACGGATGAGCGGTAGGTCAACAGGAACAGGTGAAGGAATTTGTCCTAGTCTCTTTGGTGGTCAGAGACTACTTTGGCCAAATAACGGATGATGGTTCTGTTCATGCGTTCAACCATCCCATCGGATTGTGGATGTAGAGCCGTCGTCCTGGTCTTGCGGATGTTAAGGACTTCACAGACGTCGGCAAAGTGCGTCGGCATTTTGATGGATCGCCCCAGCTCGATGTTCTGTGTCGAAATCAAATTCCTGTAATCATTCAATCTATCTAGCTACCTGCCCTTCAGGATTCTTAAACTGCAACAGCCATTTCAAAGCAGCATGGTCTGTTCTTAACAAGAACTTTCTTCCATAGAGATACTTGTAGAAGTGTTCCACTGCTTTAACTACTGCTAGTAATTCTCGTCTGGTTACACAGTAGTTCCTTTCCGGTTTCGACAAGGTCTTACTAAAATAACCAATTACTTTTTCTTGACCATCCTGGATCTGAGACAGAACACGCCTAACGCAACATTGCTAGCGTCGATATCCAATATAAAGTTTCCATTGCCAAGAGGGTAGCTAAGTATGGGCGCACTAGTCAGGGCCTTCTTCAATTTTCGGAATGCCTCGTCAGAATCTGAGTCCCAAGAGAAACGCCTCTCGCCTTCGGTAAGTCTGGTCAATGGTATTGCGATGGTGGCGAAACCCTGTACATAGCGTCGATAGTATGTGCATAGTCCCAAAAAGCTTCGTAGTTCATGTTTATCTTTAGGTATCGGCCACTCTTCCACTGTCTTGGTCTTCTGTGGATCTATCGCAACTCCTTGGGAGGAGACTACATGTCCCAAGTAGTGTACCTTTTCTTGACACAGATGACATTTCTTGGGGCTAAGTTTCAAACCAGAGCTCCCTAGTCGCTTGAAAACTTCTTCCAAATTCTCCAGATGATCGTCAAATGATTTCCCAACCACTATGATGTCATCCAGGTACACTAAACAGGTAGTCCAGGATAGTCCCTTTAACACAGACTCCATTAGTCTCTCAAAGGTAGCTGGCGCGTTGCACAATCCAAAAGGCATGACGGTAAATTGCCACAGTCCGGAGCCCACCGAGAACGCTGTCTTCTCTCTGTCTTTCGGCGCCATGTCGACTTGCCAATATCCACTCTTCAGATCTAACGTAGAGAATATCGTTGACCCCGCCAGCGTGTCTAGAGTATGTCCGGTCTGATATCCTCGGCAGGGGATAGCTATCCTTCTTGGTAACATTATTGAGCTGCCGATAATCAACACAGAACCTGGTGGTACCGTCTTTCTTCTTTACTAGTACTACCGGCGATGTCCACGGGCTGTTAGATGGTTCGATGACACCCTCTTCTTTCATTTCTCGAAGGATTTTGTCAGCTTCTTCACGTTTAGCGAGCGGAAGTCTTCTCGGATTTTGTTTGATTAGTCGTGCATCTCCGGTGTCAATTTTATGTTGTAATAAATTGGTACGACCTCTATCTCCTGCTTCTCCTTTATCAAACACATTTTGATACTTGATTATCAGGTTTCTCAATTTTCTACTATTTTCGGGAGATAATCCCTTAACGTTTAAAAACTCCTTCACCATTTTGTCCGGAATTTTTGAAGTCGAAACTTTGGAGGCTTCCACGCTACGAATGACTGAGGAGACCGAACAACAGTATCCTAACAGGGTTCCCTTCTTCAAGGATACAGAATAA